GAATAGTGTTCAGATATTTGAAATACTTGCAAGTTTGTACTATTTTGACAAATGATACTGGCAGTATTTTGTACATCCACCACTCATTAGTAGAAGTTTCTCTAACGCTATTCAAGCTGAAATTTCAAAACTACTAGTCAATTATAAAAATCAGTTTTATAAAATATAAACAATGCTATCCTAAAATATTACAGATAAGACTAAATTTTAAAATCATTAGCCTTAACCCTGAATAATTACTATTTCATGACATTTTATCCCCATGTATGTGTTTGTGTATATAGTAACAACAAAAAAGCTCTTGAAAAGATTTCAAGAAGTTCTGCTTAATGTATACGTTTGAATGCAATTTCATATGCTCAACTTTTGTAAAATGAATACACTGATATATTTTTTCTAATATTAGTATATGATAGTTTCCATTTCTCTACTTCTCTATCATCTCACATCACAATTCAAAATTTCATGCCAAGCTACACTGGTTTATAGAATGAACACTGGGTATTTTCTGATTATATTTATGGAAAATTAGTGATGAGTATTTCATGAGAATTTTAACAAGATATCTTCAATTTTGTAGTTCATTTTTATCTTTAAGAGAAAATATTTAATATCTCTTGCAAAAATACTATACAGTTTGCAATCAGCCTTGATATCATATTCTTCTAGAATTGTCTAAATTTCATCTGGTTTTCACAATTTCTTAACATAAAGCTATTTATATTTTGCACTTATTATCTTTGTAAACTGTGTTACCTACACTTACAGCATTTTCTCTCTTCAATGTATTTGTATTAATGACATTTCTTTTTTCATCAATATTTCTGAGGCTACATTTGTTTCAATAGCTTTCAAAACAACCAATTTTTGTTATATTAATAATCTCTATTGCATTATTTGTTTCTATTTCATGATTTTTTTTTTCTGTATTTTAGTTGTCTGTTGCTGAACTTCCATTTCCATGCCAACTTTATAGATTGGTAGCTCAAAAGCATTCTATTCATAATCAGTAACACAAATCACACAGTAACCTGAACATGAAAGCAAGATAAACTAGAATCATGACAATGGAGAAAAATAATTTTTGCATCTGTATTGGTTGCAATACACATGCAGAAATTAGAAGAATATCAAAATGGAGCCATGTGAATATTAAATAATTTGAGATACTATTTTTTCCAAAATCTAGCCTAATATTGGTTGAATATATCCACTATATTTTGGAGACATGGAAAGTGACTGGATAGAACAAGGAGCTCTGATTTTAAATTAAGATTTAGCTTAATTTCAAACTACATCTTCTATTGTTGGGAACCACTTAATCTGGGAATTGCCCTAGGGCATGACGCAAATGTGACCCGACCAGAAAACAGAGTTCTGGGTCAGCCACATGAAGAAGTTTTACAGCCCAGAAAACACCAAGCTCCTAGGCCATCCAAGCAATGGGCTGCTAGGCAGAGGGGTTGACATTGCCTTCATCTTTCCAGAATATAAATGAACATGCCGCATTGGGTGAGTGGTACCCTTCCTCCCGTCAAGAGGATGAGGATGTCAGCTGACCCTGCTTTCTCTCTTCTTTATTTTCTCATCCTCTCAGGCCCTTCACCCTAAGGACCTCAGGAGCCACATGGGTGGCAGCATTCTAGTGAAAGTAAACTAAGCAATTAGGATGACCTTTCCACTAAAAACAATTACAGAAGCTGGGCACAATGGAAAACAATTTCTTCAGACTTTTGAAGGCCACCAAACACTGCAAAGATTTACTGGCCCAGATTTAGGGAATATTCATTGCCAAAGAGCATAAGCCATTCATTCTTGCAAGGTTACTTTCTCTCAACTTGTGAAGTAATGGGAAGCTGAGTAACACTTTCATTAACCATAAGTGACAGCTACTTGAAAATAACGTTGGTCAACTCAAAGAACTTCACTCTCTAAACTTTGTTCAGGTAACCTTCACATGTTAGAACACTAACACAAACATGCATATCATTTTCAGGAAAGATAATGTTGGCATAAACTCAAACTATTTCTCTGAACAATTTTAAAGTAAAATAACATATACATAAAGATATAAGAGAACGTGAAAAATAAATAACAACCAGTGGGGAAAAAAGCAGCTATTTAACAGAAACAAATCCATAGGGGACTGAAGCTGTAGGAATCATCTGACAAAATTCAAAACACTATTTACTCTGAGCATGGAAATAAAAGATAGTATTGAAAATTTTTGAAAGTAAAGCTTTAAAACGTATATTAGAGTCAGGCATGATGATATGTGTCTGCAAGGCCAGAAATCCCAATATATTTTTCTCTAGTGGCATGCTATTTTACCTTGTAGAATTATCCAGACTTTTGTAATGACTTGCTACCCAGATGACCAAATTGTTTAGAAAAAACTACTTTGCAGTTTTGGCCAATGTTTTTCTATATATAGCAGAAGGCTGACACAGTAGGATTTCAGGGAGTTCAGGGTCAGCTTGGGCTACGTACTGAATTCAAGGCTAGCCTGAACTACATGGTGAGACTCTGTCTTAATAAATAAATAAATAAATAAATAAATAAATAAATATTCAATGATGCAGTCCCCTAAATTATAAATGAATTAGATAAATTTAAAACGCATTAGACATAGTTGAAGAGAGTGCTAGTATATTGGAAAACTGATCGGAAGACATATTCAGAATAAAGATCTAAAATGATGGCAGTGGCAGGAGAAATTAGAAGACAGCGGGCTATAGTAACAATAGCGAAAATATTTATGATGGGGCATCTCTAAAAATGCTATAAAATGTAGCAGGATTTTTTTTTCAGGAAATAATAACTGAACACTCGCCAAACTTTCCAAAGTTTTTTCAAAGTTTATTCCTCTACATGTTAAAGGACTCCTGTAACTCCAAACACCAGAGAACATCCTAAAATAACTGTCATATGAAAAACATGAAGAATCTCTAAAATAACTAGAGTGGATAAACAAAATTAATTAAACAGTCTTTTAATGAGGAAGCAGCCTATTTCTTGACTGACAAAAGCCAAAAGAAAGAGAAATAATACCATTAAACTAGAACAAAAAGAAAAAAAAAAAAAAAAAAACAGTTAACCTAGAATTTTTTCTCTATGCCAGAAAATATCCTTTAGCAGTGAAGATGCAATAATGACATTTGAGGAAAAAAGCATGTGACAGAATCCACCAACAGCAGTTTTACATCAAAGGAAATACTGAGGTGTTATTTTCAAGTGGACTATAGTGATCGTAAACTGAATGCTGGATATGCATTCAGAAGCAATTACTGTAGTTAAGTATTTTGAAATGAATTCTTTCTAAGATGATTCTGAATAGGGAAAATATAGCCTTGGGCTATATACTTTTTCTAGGGTAAGGGTTGCTTATTCTTTCTAGTTATGAGCAGGACATGAATTCTCTGCCAATTATCTTTATGTTTTTGATGTTATTTTATTGTATGAATTATTCAGTTTCATTTTGTAGGTATAAGAACCACACTTCACAGATTTCAGCTCTCTGTAGACTTCCAGCGGTCCTTGAGCACCTTACAGTCAACTTTTCTAAATGGCCTGCATAACCATGGACTAAACCATCCATTAATTGCAAGCCAAAAGAATCAGAAATATAAAAATGGAAAGAATTGGCATCCATTACTCCCTTGCTGCTTCAGGAACTATAAAAGAAGGACTTAATTACACTTAAAGGTTGACGTGTAATTTGTTTAGAGAGGTTTCTAGTTGTAGGCCAAAACCTGCGTTCTCCAGAACTCAGAGCACCCAGCCCATCTCTAAACTGCTTTGTTGGCAATATTCACATTGTGAATACCGGCGCCATTAGCAGGCTGGCTCGGTTCACACCACAGAGGGCAATCGATGCTTCCCTGCATCGCTGATGCTGCAGCTGACTTATTTCAGACTCTGCAGGGCTAATGATGGCGACAAGCCCCACACTCGGACCACCAGCAGGCAGGTCATATGCTCAAGATAATAAGGACTGAGGCAGTGGGGTGTTGAAAGGAGCTTGCAAGTCCTATGGAAGAAAAAGGAAAAACACATGAATGTGACCATGGTATTTCAGTACAGAGAAATTTTTCTTATATTCATGGAATAGTAAGAAAAAATGTAAGAAAACATTTAAATTACAAAATAGTTTTACATAAATGGCCTTGTTATTTTTTAAATATGCAGTAGAATAAGTTGTTTAAAATGGTAACATATTGCTTGAAAAAAGGAATAAATTCTTTGTTATTAGTAAGTGCAATATAGATTGTTGACTGATCCTGAATTATAAAAAATGGTACATTGTATATTTCATTGGATTTTGTTTGTATTAGTAATTTTCTTAGCAGATTGCTTTTGTATTTCAAACATTCCTTTTCAATAGAAATAAAAATCATCAGCAAGATGCAAATCAATTGATTTATATTATATTTACAAATTTACTGTTTCCTGCATTGGAAATATTCTACAGTTAGTCCATAGATGTTCTTAAGTAAATTAGTTGCAAGCTCTTACAAATGTAAGTGCAGAAATATCTAGCAGGACTAGACATTCTTGCATATCTTATTTTTTCATTATGGAATATATTTTTCTCTAATGGCTTGCTATTCCACCCCCTAGAATATTCCATACTTTCCTAATGACTCACCATCCAGATGACCAAATTGCTTTGGAAAAAGTACTTTATTAGTCCCTGCCAAATGTTTTTCTATAGCATTACTCACAGCTAATGTTCATAGAGAAGAAACTCTGCCAGATATTTCAAACATCAGAGGACATCTGAAACTTGTTCAGTGCTTTCTTGAAACACCTTTGTGAATACTTGGTCCCACTGAAAGACCTACTGCTTGCAATGTCTGAATTGAAAACAAAGAATGATTGCTTTCTGCCCTAACTTGAAAGAGATTTTCAGTTTCATTTACTCAGCAAAACCTTTATGGAGGTACTCGAAAATGAATCTGCAAGGATTTTATGCACCACAGCCAGCAGACATCAAAATATTCCTCATTTATTATCCTCCTAAAATTGTTGTCATAATGCAATTATGTAAATGAAGACTTGCAATCACACTGAGTATTTGTTCCGGTTTTGAGCCAAATACTTATTAGATCAGAGCAGTTTAAGGAAAACAAGAACTCACCACCAACAGAATTCATGGAACGTGAAAGAGCATGAGAAATTCCCATTGGAACGGTTCCCAACATGCTGCATAAATAAAGGTAGGGTTTGTTGAAGCTTCCCTCCCACCCCCTGCATTTCCTAAGAAAGAAGCATGCTTGTCTAAGGAATGCAGAATGGCTCAGGCAGTCTTCACACCAACTCTGTACCCTGAGTGCTGGGGCGTGTGTGTGTGTGTGTGTGTGTGTGTGTGTGTGTGTGTGTGTTACATTATGTGTGTGTGTTTCCATTTATATCCCTCAGCTTTCTCTAGCTTTCTCCCACTCTTCATCTCTTCCACAAAGGACTTCCAGCAGAGAGCAGCTGGTGCCCTGGGTTGGCCGCCTTCCCCAGACTTGGGGGGCTTTCACAGGAAATCAATGGCCGCTTATTTTCTCCTGTACTGCAGTTTTCTGTGTGGACTGACATGGCCCCGACCATACCGATCCATTCTGTAGAGCTATTTCCATTCAGATGTGTCTCTTTACAAACAGCGGAAATTAGTGGAGGCCCAGTGTCAAACTGCTTGTCACATCTTGTTTTCAGTCCGTTGAAATCAGGTTTATAGTGTCCTATTCAGAAGCATGGGCTCTTTTTAAGCTTCACAATGCATTTCAGGAGTTCCACCAGGCGATGAATGCAGAACTTCACACTGCTATTAAATAATAATCAAAATGATTAGGCTTTTGAATTTTTGGAAGGAACCTATTTGCATGGAATGCATTGTCTTCATTGGAGGATGTCATTTATTCCTGGGTATTCATCTCTTTAATGCATAAAAGTATTCCCTGTTCATTTTTCAGTATTAGAGCTGCAGTGTGAGACTATGTTCTGGTGATTTAGCAACTCTGAATGAATAACTAACCATGTATTGCACGCGTGAATACCATACTGCGCCCTGCTAGTATTCTGCAAACCTTCAAACAAATAATAATTAGCAAGTATTGAATGCATACCATGCACCCAAACCACTGCTAAATGCTTTACAACTCATTTAATTCTCACAACAACTCATGGGAGTAGTTGCTCCTATGATCCCCATTTTGTAGCTGAGGTAATTGAGGTTTAAAGTGATTAAGTTTTACTCAAAGTGTCACAGTTTGCTAGATGCTAAGCTGAACGGTCTCAGTGAAGAGTCTAGAAAGGAATCCTTGTGTAATATTGACTTCTTGTAAAATATCATTTGTTTAGCTTCAAGTTCACTTTTATATTGGGTGTGCAAAATGTATTCAGAAGGCTAAGCAAAACCTACATTCCAGGCTGGTACTGGAACTGGCTGTAGTCTGTGACAGAAACGTGAAGTCAAACACACATTTGATTAGACTCTTAAGTGATGCAATTCAGAGAGAATCTAGAGAAAATAGAGGGTTTTATGATAGTACCAAACTTTGATAGGACAAGAGGCTTGAAATAAGATACAGAGACCCAAAAGCCATATTCTCAGCGATAAGGAAAAGAAAACAAAGGCAGAGGAGCAACCCAGGCACCAGGCATCCAGGGTGCCAGCCGAGGGAGCTACCTCTTTGGGTTTTAATGGATGTAATGCTAGGTGCTCCTAAAGGATATGCTATCACCATACTCTCAGTGGTCAAGGTGAAAAGGGATGATTTTTCTGTAATCCAAACTTACTATTCCTAACCATGTGAAACAAATCGTTCAGTTTTTAAATAAAAAATAATAGCCAAGCAGTGCTCAAGAAAAGCAAGGACTGTGACACTGTCGTAGTAATGGAAGTTTCTTTTCTTTCGCTTTTGGGGGCAGTGCTTAAGACATTGAACAAAATTAAAATATCCATGAAGTCTTCTCTTTATCCTCAGATGTAATCACTCTCACAGGTCGTGCAAAAAACTGCTTCACATTTTTATATTTTCACCATCTGTGTAGGTTTTCAAAAACAATCTTATTTCACGAGTTCTGAACACTTTACAAGTTATACCACAGTTCAACTAAAATGTACCTTTTTATTTCTTTCTAATCTGTTATGGCAGTCTAATTGGATATTGTATGACCAGTCAGGAACACTTATTTTAACTGCTTTCCATAAGGTTACACGTTACGGATCTACTGTCATTTATTTTTTTGTTTGTGAATGAACATCATGTTGCTTCCCAGCTTTTTCTTTTAATACTGCCTTGACTCTCCTTGGATGTCTCCTTTCACAAAGTAAGAGAATTTATTTTAATGTACTTTGTGGGGTGGTACTGGATTCTGAGGTCTGTGCATTTTTAATTTCAGCATATTTTGCCATACTGCTTTGCTAAGTAGCTGCAAAAATTTATACAGCTTATAAAATTTATTAAGCCTCCTTATTTTCCAATGGCTTGTTTAGCAAGCAATATTGTAATTTTTTGTTGTTTTGCCAAAACTATATATTAAAAATGATACCATCTTATTGTAATTTTAATTCCCAGAGTATCCAGTGAGATTAAAGATATTTTTTGATGATTGTTGGCATTCCGCTTTAATCTTTTGCCCATCTTTAAAAATCAGGCTACCTTGAGCTTATTCACCTGTGAAATTCTTCATATTAATTTACCATCATTTATAGCCACCGCAGTACATTCTGGATCAGCTGTCCTGGTTTCGGTGTTGTCTGTTAATTATGCAGTAATCCCAAAATAAAATACAGGCTACTTTAGGAAAATATTGCTTCTCAACATATGTTTCTGCCTGTCTCATTTGAGATATTTACCTAAATCAAAATTATGAAGGTATTTTCCTATATTTTAAGTAGCCTTGTGGCCATTTAGCATTATTCTTTTAAAAGACACTTTCATATAATGACCTAGAGGCACGTAATTGTGCAATTTTCTTGTAGGAAAAAAATTAGAGACTGACTCCCCTAAGTCACCGTCTCCACCCACACACAGAATAAGGGGGTTTCTTCTAGTCCTGGAATCCACATAGGCTAACAGAGCGGACCCTAGTGACTCCGGTTTCAGAAAAGGCCTGGGAGTGCGCGTAGCCCGCTCCAGCTGCAGAGCCCACCTGTTCACCATCTCGTGTATTCTACGCTTAATATCACAAAGCTGAGCGCTGAACTGCTGTTGTATTATTTTGCACGAGCTAATTTTTCTCCTTACCTTTCTACTGGGGTGGCACGAAGAAAGTAATAACAATTATAATCCAACAGTGACTTGCTTGCAAATTCAGCGAAAGGTATTCCAGCACCAAGTCTACAACTTTGGGCTAGTTGATTAACCTCTTTGAAGAAGTTACAGTTTCACCCTCCCCTGACTGATAAACAGGACTGCAATAGAACCAGAATAAATGTTTTGAAAACTTGTTGGCCAAGAGCAAATGTAACAATTTATCGGTTGAATCAGAATATTTCATTACTCATTCTCATATTATACAGACTATAAATTATATTCATCACCTATGTTTACACACACACACACACACACACACATATATATATATATAATATATATAATATATATATATATATATATATATATATACTGACAGATTTTTTCTTAATTTTATGTCATGAATAAAGATTGTAGAACACATAACAGTCACCTTATCATCTAACAATTGCCATTTATTTCTACATGGTCAGTTTTCTGGCTTTTTCCTTTACTTTTTTCTACTGAAACCATGAATACATTTCCATTTTACTCATTATCAGACCCCTCCGTATATCAACCAAACGAATTTGACAATCTTATCTTAAATCAGTCCCAGCAACATAATATTAAATAGTCATTTTTTCTGTCCAAGAATGAATTTTTCAATGCATATAATTTGGAATTTTCCATTTGCCTAGATTTTTATCATTCATTCTCTTACACAGAATGCTAAAGGGTGTATAAACGATTGTTCACACTGAATGAAATGACCTATCAAAGAAACCAAGCAGATTAGTTCATTAAAAATCCCTTGGTTTATTCAAAAGATATCTGTCTGAGATGCTAAAGGACAGATAATGTAGACTGAAGTAAGAGTAAGCCAAGTGATCTTCTTATGTGATAACCCCAATAACCGTGATTGCATAATGGATTTACTGTTAAAATTCATTTCCTACAAACTCATCTATTAATGCCACCTTTGCCTTAACAGAGAAAGTTTTCATTATTGGGAGTTTGAGGGAGACTTATTCCTTCTCTTCCTGCAGAAGTTATAGTATTGTATGCAACACATATGTTCATGGAGTTCTGTGTGAAGAGACTGAAGAAATACACAGCAAAGAGGAAATATGTTGAATCATTTCTCAGCACTCCTGAGTTTTGCAATTGGCATGTCCTGCGTTATTTTCAGAGTCTATTATGGTTTAACAAGGTAATTTACCACAACAGCATGAAAAGAACTTCCTTTCCTGTCCCAATCAATAGGTTCATATCAATAACTATGGTAACTGCCAAATAACAATATTTGCTAAATGAAAAAGTTTTAAAGGTTGAACATCATCTGAGCTACAGGAATAGAAACCCATAGGAGTACTAGAGCTAGAGGGCCGGGTACAAGCAAGCTTAGAGAGTGGAAAGGAAGACAAAAATAATATTAATATTTAGCAACAACAGTTTTCATCTAGAAATTCTTTTCATTCTGATCATGTATGATACATCAGAAATACTAAAAGCACAAAGGACTCAGAAAGTCTAATTTAAAATAAATGCCATGCAAGTAATTGGCAGCAAAATACAAAGAAACCTAAGGGAGAGAAAGACAGAGAATAGATTTAAAAATTTAAAAAAGTATCCTCAGGGATAAAAGTGCAGAATTTTCAAATGTGAGCTATATGCCACACCAATAATCATAAATTAGAACAGAAGGCCACAGTTTATCTAGAATAATGTAGTATAATTAGGAAACCAGATGCTCCTGTAAATTTATGGTGATCATATTCCCTGCTAGCAGCAACACGTCAGTGAGAAAGGAATATGTGTTCATCAAGTCAATCACATGCTTGATTCTGTAATTAATGTTTGCATGATCATAATATTATGAAAGTTGTGTTTTGTTTCAATTTTATTTTACCTTATCACTTTTGTGATAGTACTGCTCTGGGTAGCCTAAAATTCCTGAGTTCCAGTAACCCTCCTGCATCAGCCTCCTGCATACTGGTACCACAGGTATACACCTCAGATGGCTTCATATTTGAACTCAAACTACAGGTAACACTTGGAAGACAGAATTACATTTTTGTGTATGTTTGCTTGAATATATATGCTTTATATGTTAGTTATTTTTTAAAAAAATAAGATGGATTGAGTTTAAAAAGATATTAAAATGGGAAGCAGTGAAGGAAAATAAAGGATTTGATGTATAAATGTCATACAAAATTGACAGATCAAGCAATAAGTTTAGAATTATGGAAGTGGGCAGATCAATCAGAGATACCACAAAGAAATCATAATAGAAGATCCCAGAAGAACGGAGGCAAGAAGATTGCTTTCTATTATGCCAGTTAGTAATATTGTACTTTTCATTATTCTGTGCATTTTTTTACTATTATAACAAACTTTTAGACAGAAAAAAAGATGTTTTTATATTTTGATAAATTATGGTCTATGCAAAATGTTAGCATTTAGTGCTATCTAATAGGATTTATGAAATATTGCGTATCTCTGCAGTCCAATATCATCATCACTACTAGCTAGTGAGCTTTGGAAGTGTGGTTAGTGCAATTATAGAACTAAATATTTAATTATTTTAATTGTAATTTAGACAGCTATACATGCCCATAAGCTTAGTGAAACTAGTAAAATAGTTCTTGATATTATACAAACCTTTTATTATTTTTTTTCTAAGAAATCTTCATGCTTAAAGGACTTTGCATGCATCATTTCAGTAACCACTTGCTTACAAAACTGAAAGCAAATACTTCAGATTGGAGATATTTAGAACTTTGCTGAGCCAAAAGCAGAATCATCTAGCCAAGGCAACCAAAAACTCAGGTCACTTGACACTTTGGAGAGGAAGGATTCATGTTTAATAAGGATACAATTATTATATAAAGACAGAATTTGTATTAGTCTTTCTGAAATAATAGTGTTTCACAATTCTTCTGCTACTATTACGAGAATTCCAAATCTAGAAATTTCTTCTAGACCTTTGTATTCAAAAATCCTATCAATCTGTTCCCTTTAAAGCCCCAGGCCAAATTATGAAGGATGTTGAATCAGAAATCACCTCCCACATCCTCTTGCCAGCTGTAAATGCTCTGCTTCTCCTTGGAGAGCTCAGGTGTTCTTTGATAGCCTGGAAAGGAATGGATTGTGCTCAGGCGTTGGGACTCTAGTCTGTTTTAGTCACTCTGGCTGTTAGCACGTCCTAGAAGCTGCATCTAACAAATGGTTAAGATTCTGGAGGGAACTTGGTCACCTTTTACTCCTGCTGCACTGCAGATTGAATGCAAGTAACCATTTCTAATGTTCAGTTTCATTAAGGAGGAAAAAATGCTGAGCTTTCTTCTCTGGTGCTGTCATTGAGAGACAAAAAAAAATTTTTGGAGGGAATTTCTGGCATTATCCATATATATTCTGCACTATAGAAGCACCAAGAGGTCACTCAGAAAAATTAATAATCAGAGTGTACAGAAATTGTGAGTCATACACCCACACTTCTCAGTCATCTGGAGCATTTGTTTCCTTCCATGCTTTCTCTCTATCAGACAAGAAGATGAATTATGTCTTCCAGTTTTTCATGTTAACAGTTTGATAAGTAGCATCGAGAACATTTCTATAAATTTGTTAGAAAATCCGTTCAATAAAATAAACATATAGCTCGTGGTGCTTGTTCCCAAAAAGCATGCAAACAAGCTGGAAATACAGTTTCATTAACTCATTGCATCACCCGTAACACTAGGTTCCTCCTTTCTTCTTGTGTCACTGTCTGCCCCTCAAGCTCCACATTCTACAAATCAGTGATAGCAAAGCTTTCAGGGAGGAGTGCCCAAACTGCAGCTCAACCCACTTATTTACCATCAAGCACCAACAGTTAAACCTGAATACTGAGGTTTCAGTACAGGAAAAAATAACCACTCATGCATTAACACTTTTTGTCTTCAAAGTAAAGCAAATAACACACCGTACTCTCAGTGCACTGCCGCTGCTCTAGATCTGTCCGGAGCTGCACTGTCACGCTGCACTCTCATGTCTCCTCGTCCCCATTCTCTGGCTCTAATTTCATATGGTTTTACTCACTCTCATAAAGGTTTTTTGAAGAAGTTTTATATAGCTTATTTCTATTACCAATTTTCTAAGTCTCCCACTCCAACTTTTATACTCTGGCCAAATTGGTGCTGCTAACCACTCACTAAGATAGAGCTGCCAGTGAATCTTAGCAATAAAAACAAATGAAGACCATTCTTACAGCAAAATGAGGGAATCTTGTAAATATTTTAATGATCTTAGTTCTTTCATAAATATTGAATATGAAAAAGGTAAAGGACTCTAAAATAAATCAATAATAATGAAAATAATATAGTATTATGAAAAGCATACAAATTTCATGAAACATAGCTATGATGTCATTTTAAAGTGATACAAACATATTTCTGTAACCATTGGAAGTAAATTTTATGGCCTTAAAGTCACGGCAAGATTCTTTAGAGCATAGACCACATTTTACTTTTTGATTAATTTATTATGCATGATCCCTATTAGATATTCACTCTGTAAGTTCTTTAGTATTTTATAGGAAAAAATGGCAAGTCAAAGGCAAAAACAATTTATTATGGTAATTGTTTTATTTGGAAAGCTAAGCTTTATAACCCTCTCTTAGTTACTTTTCTCATTGCTGAGACAAATTAAGGGGGGAAGGGTTTACTCATCACACTGCAGAGATTCCAATCCTTTATCAGCTGGCTCCAAGGTAGAGTGAAACAAGGCAGAAGGTAATCGTTCATGGCAGTAGAAGACAGCAAAAGCAAGCAAGGAAAGAAGAGGTGACAAGCTTCTTTCCATCCCTTATATTGCATGCAGGCTACCAGCCTTAGGGCAGGTGTAACACTTACAAACTAAATGCCAGCAGTGAACCATGAAAATCCTGCCTCTCCATGGCTGCATGAAGCTTTGGAGGGACATCCAGACACAAACCATGACAAACCCTAATATAAATAAAGTCATCTTTCCCTAAATTAAATATTTAAAAGGCAACTGTTGGTAGTCATGGGCTAACTTTGTTTTATGACTGCTACACCTAATCTATCTCACTTGTTGTTAACATAACTAGAGCCAAGATGGCAGTGAATGTTGTTTGGCAATGTGGAAGGGAGTTTGAAAAAGTCAGATGGTGCTGACTCTTATTTAATATTTCCTCACAGATCATAAATAATTTGATTACTAATATCCATGAAGTTTGTAAAAAAAAAGAGGAAGAAGAAGCAGTATGCAGGGGTGAGAATGGAGAATGCTAAGCTGAGTCTCCCACTTGCTCAAGAGCTATGAAAACAGAAGGCATTTCCCAAGAAGTGCTGCCATGAAGAAGTCAGCATACGACCCACTACCTAGAACTTGCTTTGGATCACTGCATCAAATTCCATTCTTTACCCAATTAAAGTAGTTATGATGTTTTTAAATTTCATTTTTTATTGTTTTGTTTTCACACTCAAAAATTAAAATAATATGAAATAGTTCCCATAAAAACGTCTGATTATCACCCCTGCGTTCATTTACCTACCACTTATCTCCATCACATGAAATTTCTTTCCTTAATTTATTACAAATTCTTCCAGGCTTTTTTTCCCCCAAACATGTACAAATAAAACATATATTTTATTTTTCGTCTTTCTTACAAAAAGGAAATATAGTTCTGTGTCACTAAACGATGGAAGCACTTTCTGAAAAATGCAAGCTTAGATGATTTCACTTTTGTGCAAATGTGGTAAAATATGCTTGTACAGCCCACTGCACCTCTAGGCTATGTGGGACCACTCATGCTTTTGTGGTTCACTGCCAAGGCAAAAATTGTTAATGGCCTTGGAATGGGTAGCCTATCTGCCACTCTAAATTTTTACCAAATGATCACTGTCAGAAATCTTTTTACATTAGTATACAAGGAGCCAGTTCTATCTTCTTCTCACTACACAACCTTCTGTCACATAGGCATGTGTATAAACTGTTTTGTCAGTGACCATTTAAGACATTGTTCAATATTTTCTTATTGAAAGTAGGTGATAAATAATCTGGAATATATCTGGTTTTATATAGAGAGAACTAAGAAAAATAAATACTAGATGAATTGTTTTTAATGCAAACAAATATAGACACTGATTATGCACAAATTATAACTAAAACAATGCAAAGATGAGAAATGGAAATAGGAAGATAGTTTTGCTTTCTAATATTTATATCTGAATAGCAAGAACTCTTTCAAAATTTTCTAAACACAAAGTATAAAAAGAAAAAATAAACAAAGATTGGCAGTGTTTTATACTTTCTCTTTGGATGTCTTAGAAACATAAACTGTGGCCACCTGAAGTGGCACACACCTGCAAACCAGGTACTGTAGCTCATGCAAGAGGATCTCAAGATTGAGATCATGCTGGGAAGTCTAGGAACTTACACTGTGTCAGAATTAAAACTTTATAAAGCACTGGTGATGTGGCTGAGTGGAAAAACTAAGTTCAATCCCAAATACCATAAAGAAGAATAGAATAAAGAAAAAAAATGGAAGAGAAAAAAGAAAATGATCTGTTAGATGCTCACTTGAAATCTAGTAATTCCTTCATTTTTCTTCATTTTATTATTGAAAACAATAAGAATTAAACACAGTAATAATTCTTATTAAAAATTAGCTAAAATTATTAGAATATGAGCAAATTGTATTATAAAAATTAAAATATCTTTGCCTACTTACCTACCTTTCTATTTCTGTTATTCATATACACAAAAATCATCTCTGATCTTGAGGTCTCATAATTAGTACTTGCTAAAGAGTGTCCATGTACAGTTTACTTAAGTTTTACTCACTTACTTATTTCTTATAATTGTCATATACTGTCTTGAGCTGCTTAAATTGTTTTAAAATGGTAAATACTATTTTTAAAAGTGTGTTCATAAAGTTGTAACTCAAACATTTTAAGTAGTATAAGGGGAATGGGCTCACTATAAACTCTTAAATAATTACTATACTAAAGCCAAATCAGTAGCTCAATAATAAAAGATTAAGA